GGAGCTAATGAGAACAATGTTTCAGATGATGACCACGATGACCATAAGTAAGTTCAATCCACCGTGTGGATAACCGGCTGCGCAACATCACCGCTTCACAACATCTTTCTACAGTAGACCTATGTAACAATTACTATGTAGTGAGATGTTTTAAGGCCCACAGCCAAGAATAAAATCTTCAATTTCTCCCCATTGATTTTATTTGGCTGATCTACGATCACTTATTAATTTACGATTGTTCGCTACCACTTTACTCTTCTTTTGCTATCGAGCAGGTTACCAGGTTCAACCTTGGTCACATTCCCTTAAAAGAAGGTCAACCCTAAACTTATAAAACCTGGAAGTTTCTTTAGCCAGGCCAATTTGACCTTGAATATCTTACCGTGACCTCAGAACTATGATCAGCGAAGTGCAGAAGAACTATCATACGGTGGCTGAAGATTCGTAACTCGATTGCTTGGAGAGAGCCAATCTGTGCGGGACCGCCAAACTGTTGCGGTAGACTGTAGCATGCGCTCGGCAGAAACATTTACGTAGGTCTAGAGCCTGCTGGATCAGGATATTTGAGTTGACCGAGTTTTTGTGAAGTAAGAGGAGCGTATGAGTAAAGGTTAGCGGAATCAAATCTAATCAACAATGGTGAACTGGTTTGACATATGTCACATATTCCCCCAATCATGAGAGGAGGATTAAGGTTGGCTCGGAAAATAGCGTTGTCACCCACGAACGGTCGGAGAACAGTCTAGATCGAGTCTCGCCTCACCCAATCCTTGCATTTGTTCTTCTGTCAGCATTTGATAAGTGCTTTGGAGTTGGCACAACAATTTATTGTATGGGCAAATGGGCACTTAAATGCCGCCACTACAGGGAACGGAAGTCGACAGCTTGGCGCACCTCAAAATTAGAGAACGACATGTCTTCTACTTTGAGGGAAATCGAAGTTGCTAAATGTATTCCTAAACGTAGTCTATCAAAAAAAACCACTATACATCATTCATTCATTCATAAGTGCTGTTCACAGCTAGTGGTCGAATGAGGCTTTACAGAGATTCTCAAATACATTTCGCCTCACAGAAAATGTCGGTCGAGGAAATCCTCGACAGGGGGTCGTATTTGTAACGGCTCCTGATCCTTTGGGTTCGACAACGAGCACAGCGGTGGCTTCATGGTGCAGACGGGTGTAACGCAGCAGAAAACGAGGATATGTGAGGAAACACGATAAAGGTGATGTTTGCATCTTCAGTCGCTCCATTCCTCTTGCTTCATGAGAAGGACGTAATCAAAAACAAATGATGGAGAATGTGGAAATGCCTTGTGCAAATAGAGCTGTTCTCTAGGTTATGGAGTTACGAAATGTGTTTACTACAATACAGTTTCTGTCAACTGGTCATCATCATAACACACCTTCCAATCGATTCTGCAACTTTGAGTGGAGGTCGGATGCATGGCCTATACCAGACGAATGGGCGATGACGATTGCCATTTTCTCCGCTTACGCTGGAGAATGCATTCTAGAGACATTTGGAGAGTTGCCAACGAATCAGCTTGCAATTGTGGTTAAGGAAGCCACTTTGGGTGCCCGAAAATCTCCTCGATAGATCCTCGACAAAAATACCTTCTCAACTAGGAGGTTTCGCGAGAAGATAATACGAAACTGGAA